AGACACTGCATTGCAATGTATACAAGCAGACAATGGAACCGGCATGACTAAATACTGTTTGGTATGAGAATTGCTGATGTTCTTAAAAAACAAACACTTGAGCCATTGTAACGTTACAGCAGCAATATGTTTTTTACTGCCAAAGCTCTTTGCTAGCAATGAACAGAGGATGTGTTTTTAAAAGTAAACACACAGTTAGCATCTGAGCTAAAGGCTTTTTGAGCAGTATTTAAGACCTACAAATCCAGAGATATCATTTTCTGAAGCGCTGACAGGTCACCGAGGGCCCCACGCATCTGCAGCACAGTGGAGGCGTCACAAGGAGTCTACAGGAGTCCCGGCCTCCGTTGTGTGCAACTTCTACAGAGGGACTGTAGAGAGCATCCTGACCAGCTCCATCACTGGGTGGCACGGCACCAGCACTGCCTCCTGCCGAAGGAGCCTCCAGCGCATCGTGAGAGCAGCAGAGAAGATCTGTGGAGCCCCTCTCCCCACCATTAAGGACATGTACTCCGTCTCACCCGCAAAGCCGTCAGAATCACCAGGGACCCTACGCACCCATCACACGGGCTCTTCAGGGTAATGCCTTCAGGGAGGAGACTGCAGAATTTACGGAACAGTTCCAGTCAACTTAAAAACAGTTTAATTCACAAGGCCATCAGAAAGCTGAACTCCCTGCCCTCCCTCCCACCCCTCTTCTCCCACCCCCCGCTCCAAAATCAAGGATGAGAGAAATATAATTTCAAACCATTCACTTGGTTTGACAAATAAAAATCTTCAAATCTTCAAATCTTGAAATCTTGAAAGATAGTATTCTATCAAAGAACTATGACAACTGTTCATGTGGTCAAATATGTGTCCCATATTAAAACATTTTTTTTTCGAGGGTCAAGGAAATTTACATTTTTAACAATGTGTAATTTGATTTTAATGATTTATAATAGTTGCAGTAGAAAATATTGTTCTGTAAAAATAATATCCCATTGTCGTCAACTGAAGTATGAATCTCAGTGGCATATACTGTATCTGTCATGTGGTGCATTTCAAAAATGTGCTGTCTGTACCGATACTGTCCATCTGGGAGAGTATACACTACTACATTTCACTAATAATATTTTGGCTAATTAACAGCTCTGTGAACAATGAAGGGGAAGACATTTGGGATGCAAAGGGGGAAATGTGCTTTGTCTGCTTAATTATAATCTCTTTAAATAGGACATTGCAACATGCTCGGCACCTCCTCCGGCTCCCGGTGCTTGTCCTCCTTCGCCATATGCAGTAACTGCATTTTGCCACCGGGTGGTAGACCATGCATAGATAAGTGAGGGCTGGGGTAATTCTTTTGACAGCCCCTCATCCGGCTGTTGCCTGCTCTTCCCACCAGCACCAGACAATCTGGAGACATCAGAACAGCAGGACGAGGGGCCAGGCCCACTCTCCAGTGCAACTGGGGACAGTGCCAATCTCCACACTCAGAGGACACTTAAGGGACGAGCAGGTTGGACGGAGGGACCAGGATGGAGCAGCTTTCATTCTTCAATAAATATTCAGACTCTCTTGTGTCCTGCTTTTGTCTATGCATGTGTTAGACTATGGTATAATTGTCAGTATCCTCTGCCCACTCTTATTCCCTCATTTCCTGTCACTCGCTGCATTCGAATTCATTGCAAAATCACACACATAAAAAACATTTCTGATTGGAAGCCTTCAAACCTTTCCACTTTATTCTTTTGCAATGATTTATTAAATTAACTTGGATTTCAGTTCATCTGCTTATTAACACTGAGGCTTGTTTTTCTATGAAACATGGGTTCTTTTTATAATTCCAAGTCCCTCCATCTTGTGCACATCTGTGTTGAATGAATTGGTGATTTTAAAAGCTGCCTCAGCCTAAGCCAATGTCCCCCACTTAACATGCCATAACACAAAAACAACAAATCCCTTCAGATGGAAAAAGACTTGGCTCACACATTGCAGTAGCATAATACGTGTGTAGAAAATGTGTGGGACGTAGTGCTTTTGAGCAGGAGATAACTCTTCATACAGGCGCCAGTGTCTGCTGTGCACAGCTCCACACTGTGATAATGGAGTCATCGGCCCGCGCTCTTTTTGACATTTGCCTTGATTACACATAATATTAACTGTTCCTCTCCTTCACTGTGGCTGCTCCTCTGGGATTTGAGCACACTAAGTCACACACTGAAAGAGGGTCACCACTTGAATAAGACACGGCACAAATTAATTTGACATATTCTACAAGGACATTATACAAATAGTAAATCTATATGGTTCCCTTGTGCTGTACTTCAATACATGAATAAGTCACCTTTTACTAATCCTTAAGGTGTCTATACAACAACCTGGCTGCACAAACGTTTCCCTAAATGTTTCTAACACCTTTTTTTAAGTGCGGCATGGTATTGAAATCAAGTGCAATATGACTGTGATAAAGATATAAAGAGAGTGCATTTGCAAAAACAGATATCTCTTTTTTGAAAATGTGTAAAAAAAAGTTTCCTATATTCCTGTAGCTTCAATCTTCAAAAATGTTGTGTCAATGACAGAACATTTGATATTATTTTCTCTAAAAGCGGTGAAACAGTATTTGGCTTATGACTAATTGTAAGCCAAAATGTTCAATCCTCAAATACATAAAGATACTATTGGACCTCCATCGTTTGCTTATGTCTTTTACGTGTGTTTTGTTCTTTCCACCCACTGTACCGAGGGAGTCTGTGGGTTCGCTTTTCAGCAGCAAATGACAATATGTATGAACAAAAACACATGATACATACAGGAAATAATTGCACATAATTCTTAGATTAGATTTGATTACTTTTTAAGAACCTGCACAACACATATAAAGCCCTTATCTTTTACTACAACTGATTTCTTTACTTTTTGACAAAGTGTTTTTGTTTCAGTGAATACTAAAGCGAAGAATAACAATGCATGGATACATTTGAACTGTGGAGAACACAACGTGGAATTGTTTTCGGTGCAAATTCCATAAGAGGCCAAAGAGTGGCTGAGCTCTCCCATTAGCTGGAGTGTGTCTGAGTGAGGATCAGTATTCTGGAGCAGCTCTGGTCATGACCGAGTGGTTTGATGAGCCAAATGGTTATAGCAGAAGACAGCCAATTTACAGCCAAGAGTGAGCTTTACGTGACCAGCTCTGTCTGCTCAGTGCATCAGTCACCTGCCACTCAGCAGGCTCCAACACCAACATACCTCTGGCTTTCCGGGAAAGTTTTCCAAAACACATCCATTTAATGTAGGTTTGGACATATGGAACAAGAAATGACTTGTATCACCTTTATTGTAATACTTTTTAATCAGTGTTGAATGAACTGCATTTTCAGATTTTAATATATCTTTTCAGACATAATAATAATAATAATAATAATACTAATAATGCATCGGTTTTATATAGCGCTTTTTTGGACACTCAAAGATGCTTTACATGTCATTATTCATTCACTCCAAACACGGTGGTGATAAACTACTACTGTAGCCACAGCCGCCCTGGGGCACACTGACAGAAGTGCCTATATAACTGTGGACGATGCATTGTATTTAGAAAACACCATAAACTCATTCCACTTGATTATCATCTGGCTACATGGCTTTGTCATATTTTGAATCAATGGAACCATTGTTATTAAATAGTGAGATAACTTTAAACTCTATAATCACATTTACTATTTACATTTAAAGTGCAACGTATCTGCAACACTAGATTTGACCCACCCTCTCCACATTTCTGTAACAGGTGAATACAAGAGTTACAAATGTAACTTAAATTGTGTTTAGTGTTGCCAAGCTGTGCTGCCGTGCATGTAGGTATCCATGTGCCAAGCACTCAAACTTACATCACAGTTCCCATTTTGTGCTTGTTTTTGCTGTAGATTTTTAGATACGGTACAAAAGCTGAAGACAAAGGCAGACAAAGGTAATAAGCTCATATGCCACCCATAATACAATGTGAACTATGTATTGTTATTATCAGAAAGCCTAATAATGTTTGAAATGTACCTGTCGTTGTTGTGCAAACGAGTGTATTTACAGTATTAAGGGCCTTTCTATGGAGGGACAACTACGCTTGAACAACTCTGTTGAGCATTTTGCAAACACAAAAACTATCATGCTTCAAATGAATAGATATATAATGACATAACCGCACACATATGTGAATGTCACTGTCTCTGAAGATATACTGCATAAGAAATTCTATCCATCCAGCAAACAGCCTTCCCTCTCTTACCTCTACACAGACGAGCTGAATCAAAATTTGTGTCTGTAGAGCCATTGAAACTAAATATTGCTGCAATAAAGCCTGGTCCTCAAGGTCCAAGAGTGAAACCCCTTTTGTTCATATCCAGTGCTTGTTCTGTTTGTGTATTATTATATCCATCTTCTCTCCCCCTCACCTAAACTTAAAATGATTGCTGCAGTTTATCAGAAGCACTTTTCAAACTGAAAGTAAAACTTAAGTGTATATAAGTCCAACTTTCTATACATATATAATTATGCTTAAGTCGGGCCCTGTGCAGCCCGCTCTAGCAGCTCGACACAACTCACTTTGAGAGTATGAAGATGTGCAAACTGGACAGAGCTGTGCAGCTTACACCCTCCGCAAACACTGAGTGATGGGAGAGAAGAGTAAGGTCAGAGAGTGGTTAGGCCTGTGTCTTTGGGCCTGTGTTTTTGTGTGTGTTTTTTGTTTTGTTGAATGAGTGACAAGAGTCAGAGCCAAATAAACTTCTGCTTCGTGCAACCCTTTTTCAAACTGTGTGTTTCTGTTTTCTTTTAGTTTTTTGTTCATTATGTACACAAGTTGACATACACATATTTGATTGATTGATTAGAATTGAAGCAGACTGTTTGATCATGCACATATAGGACTAAACCACTAAAATGACACACATTATTTGGCACCCACAGTTTAGCCCCTGATTGATAAATGCAGTACATCCCAGCGTGATATACCAGCAGCCTACCTCGTTCGCAGGAGCGGCCGAGGTAACCAGTCCCGGAGCAGTCGCACACGTAGCGGTTCCAGCCCTCTCTGCAGACGCCGTTGTTCTGACACGGGTTACTCAGGCACTGCTTCATTGGCTCCTTTGAACACGACGGCTTGACCCCCGCAGCCTTCTGCACCTCAGCCAGACGGCGTATGTCCTTGCTCTGTCCATCAATGAACAGGTCCCGGATGCAGCCCACATAGCCGTAGTTAAGCAGCGCGGTCCACACTTCCGTAGGAAACACCAGGCCCATCTTGTTCTCCGGAAGCCCACCCAGGTATAAGTTTTCATCCAAGTCCAGGACCTCACTCTCTCCAGGGGCAGTGTAGGCTGTCCGCAACGTGTTGATGGAGATGGTACCTATCGAAAAGAAATAAAGTAGATCATGTTTATTATACAATTACTTGAGGATTATGTGTGACCATACATTTCCATATAAGGGGAAACTGTGTGAATTGTGTTGAAGGTCAAAGACTATGCAATGAGCTGCCCTGCATGTTGGGTAAGCTGTGTAACTGTGCAACTCACTACAACTTTTTATGTTTGATTTTCTCAATATACGCATTTATTATTCTGGAGCAGCGAGAATTCTGGCTGTTTGAATACAAGATCATCGAACCATTTGCTTCAGTTTAGTATTTGCCAAGTTGAACACCCCAGAGCCCAGTTTCACAGTCTAATGAGTTGTGTTTAGTATTGTATCAGCAGAACTGTACCTGTTTTGAACCATTTTATCATTATGATGTTTGTGTTGTTGTCGGAAAGTCTATAAACCTCATTGAGCGCTCCCTGTACTAATAAAAATAAAAATAAAAATAATTTCTCTGTTAGGTTTGTTTAACTTGGCTCAACTTTACTTTCTTAGTAATTGAACTGGATTTAGACAGAAGTTGCTTATTTTGAGAAATAAAATGCGACAGTAGCTCAGTTGGTAGAGCACTGGCCTTTGAGCCTGAAGGTCGTGGGTTCAAGCCCACCACGGAACCATCTCCACCAACTCCCACTGATGTCTGCTGTTGTTGTGTCCTTGGGCAAGACACTTAACCCCACATTGCTTGACGTCCCCGGTGAAAAATCAAGTCTGTATTGTCACTGACGGAGCAGCCATCCTCCTGTGGACTCACCCCCTGCAGCAGGATCAGTGAGTGGCTGGTGCTCAGTGAATTGGGTGCAGCTTTGACTGCCACCCCCCCGACCCAGAAATGGATTAAGGGGAAGAAGATGGATGGATGGAAAATGTGACTAGTTTGAGCCTAACATGAAGGCAATAGTGAGGCAGTAGCAAGCCTTTTTGTCATTTTGAAAATAACTGGTATTCTAGATCAACCTCCACAAAACCCCCAATATTAACATCAGATGCCACAAACAAGAGCTGAGCTAAACTATCACACCACATTTGATGAAGAAATTAGCCTAATTAGTGTTATCTATCTCGACAGGGGCAGGGTTCTCTTGCTTTCCAATGACTGATGAGTGTTGATAAAATGCATTTATCACAGCACAGCCACTCTATTAGGAGCCTAATCTGGGATCCCTAAGAGTGTCCTCTCCATTTTCCACCTATTCCCATAATAAATCTCCTTTATCTATAAGGCAGTGGTCATAAAAGAGAAAAGAGGAGGAAAAGAAAAATCAGTCCTCCTCCATCACCATCATTTCAGCCCACAACCAACACAAGAAATTGTAGGCATCTCTCTGAACTTGATTAACGGACTGCGGCCTTCTGTTTTTCCTTTCCGACACATAAACCTGCGATGAAAGTTGGTGTGTTGGCCCGCCATGATTTATAACCCTCATTCAGGTTTAATTCTCGATCTGGAGCGTGGTAAACAACAGTGGACATGACCAGATTGTAAAGCAGGCAGCGGGAAGGCCATACTGTGGGCATAAGACCAGGTGATTCATTTGTATATAGATCTGTTACTCTGTCTGTGCAGCGGTGGCCATTGTGGTTCTTTAATTAATGGCTGCTGTGTGTCCTCATTCAGTAATCCATTTTACTCTGGTGGTTAGGATACAAGCAGAGCGACACACAAGGGCAAACGAGTACCCAAAATGAAATTGCCATAAATACTAGTGCTGCGGTGATTTGCATTTTGAGTGGCAGCTTCATACTGTGGCTGATACGGAGAAGCCATTAGCTGACTGTCCAGGGTAAAGCGGGGGGAAAACTAGCTGTAAGTGAAAAGGCTTTTGCTGTTTTTCACTTTTAAAGAGGGTGAACGCAATTAGAGCAAAGCATATGTAATTAATGCATTAAATTGGTCAGAAATATCTAAACGTATGCAAAAATGTTCTGGTTTCAGTTGCCGTTTTGCAAGCAATTAATGAAAATTGCAGTAGAGTATAGCACTACATTTGTAATACTGAAGCTGGAGTAGAAGATGTGTCAACTATTGTTTGGATGTCACACTGTTTTATCCGTTCAATCAAATCCAAAATCTGTCTCAATAGACCTATGAGGTGATGTGGGGTGCTAAGACCCAAAACACATTTAAATATAGTAACGTGCTAATGAGGGCTGCTGATGTGAACGCAGCTTCCATAAAACGCTATTGTTGCATACGTCTGTAAACTCCACTCTGGGCAAGGTCGGCTGTGACAAGGAAGTGAAAGGGCATTTTGCAATAGATGTCTTGCGCTAATATATTATTTGATCATGCAAATCGTTGCACACTGAAGCAGCCTATTTCTAGTGGCAAATCCAAACGGAAAAACAAGACTTGAAAGACAGTAAACTTAAACAGTAGTCTTTTTCCATTTGTGTTTTTACAGTTTTACTGCATATTGAATCTTACAAAGAAACAACAGCATTTTTCACCAATGTAAATATCAGATGGAGTTACAGATCAACGATTACTGTATGCCATATCTCATTTGTTGGAGCTCTATTCTGTGGGTTGTGGCCTTGGGCATCTGTTCCAGCGCTTTCCTTAGGCCACCCACTGCCTCCTCACCCCGTCGTTCAAACCTTCTCACCTCTCTCCCTCCCTTACCCCCACCCCATCTCCTCAAGCTGCAGCTGCTGTGACTTCCACAGCTCTGCACATTTGGCAGGGCCCACCCGTCACGCAGCCAGAACAGCTCCCTTCAGGTTAGGGCTAACGAGCGCACTACATCAAACTCATTAGTAGCCAAGTTTTCAGGGAGCAGAGCAGGTGCCCGGATCAAGCATCAACGCGGTCAGCAAGATTTGTGGACACTTTATTCACAGATATACGTGTTGGATCAAAGCATATTTAAAAATCTTCAACTAAGCTTGTGCAAGTGGGTTATCTTTACTACATATACAAAACTAACCCCAATGAACATTGTATCATATACTTATATCAGATCATCAGGAATCCATCACTTTTTTCCAATGTAATGGATCTGGTAATGAGGAATTCTCAGTTTGAATACATTGGACACATCAAAGGAACTCACCTAGTACTTTTCACAGTCCAAAACTGCCTCATGTCATTTAGTAGACATTAAAAAAATAGAGTAAATGTATTTTTCATACATATTTCATTTAAAATGTTAGAAACTATCAGACCACAACTGTCATCCGTACACTTGTAAGTAAGAGTCAGTATTGGATGAGAGTTCATTGATTGAGCTCTTTTTGACTATTCTGAAATCGAATAAGAGTTGAATAATAAGCATGAAACTAGTGATCAAACCAAACTGTTTTGGAGTTGGCAAAATACATATAGTCATTTATAAAATAGTATTTAAGTGTTAAGTAAGTATTACTTGCTTATTTGACAAAAGCATTCCCAATGTGAAGATGCATGGTGTGCAACTTTTCTTTGACATTACTTATTTATAGATCTCAAGCCATTATTCAATTGCACATATTGCTTGAAAAATGCATTCTCACCTCTTCACAAACCTGATTATAAACTTGGTCGACTGGGGTTCCCTGCTTGTTTCCGTAGATAAATATTGTACAATGAAACATACCAACAAAGGAGCTAGCTCTTGTGAAAAGTTAGAGATAGTGCCCTAAGATTTGGAGCTTTATGAGTTAAATAAAATATTATGCATTCACACAAAAACATACTAAGAATTGTGCCAGAGAAATGCTCAATATAATCCTGTCACCCCTTGCATAAGACTAAGTAAAATCGCACATAATAAGCATTATAAGCGTCTAACTACTCAGCAGTATGTGACCACCATCTCTCTTTTTCACTTTATCTCCACAGCTGCAGGTGGGGGTCTTCTGACGGCTCAGATCTTTCGTATACTTCCATCAGCAGAAGCAGCACGATGTCCCCTAACCCTCTCTCACTCTCACCAACATGTTAGACAGCGGATTACCACAATCCAGTTACAACGATACGGCCAAATCTCTGCGTGATTGGATTCTCCGGAGAGACCAGAGGAGGTAAAGCGAGGGTGTGTTGGTGTGTTTGTGTGCACTAGGCTTGAAGTGGCGCGTGAGTGTATATGAGCAAGCTGCAAGGAAGTACAGCCTCTACTGGGCAGTGGACGACCCCAGGCCCAGTCACAGCAGGCCCAAAAGCCAAATGTATCTTAGCGTCTCTAATGCATCATGGTAAAGAGAGTCTGTCTGCGAGCAAACGGTATATTTACACCCATGCGCTTCGGCAGCACAAGAGCTCCACTAAACAGGCAGGGATCATCATACTAGACTTATTTTTACAATAATTAAAGTGATAGACTGGCCATGAACTTTAATGTTGGTCTCATGCACCATTATATTGGTAAACTACATCAGGACACAGCAATAAGCCCCACTACATATTACCCTTGTTGTCTGTTTGTGTTCAACATTATTGTTTTCATCTGCATTGATTCATAATTGGTGTTTTCCATTGAACCACAGATTCAAACTATTCATATTAGTGGTGTTACCTTTTTTTCTCATCTTTCCTATGTTTCTGATTGGTACAGTATAGTCCCTCCAATGTGTCTTGTGTCTTGGATGCCTCCTTTCCAGGGAGGCATCCAGGAGGCCTCCGAATCAGATGCCCGAGCCACATCAAATGGCTTCTCTCAATGTGGAGAAGCAGCGGCTCTACATTGAGCTCCTCCCGTTTGACTAAGCTCTTCACACAATTTCTATAGGAGTGCATAGTCACTCTACAGAAGAAAGTCATTGTGACTGCTTGTATCCACGATCTCGTCCTTCCGGTCATTATCCAAAGCTCATGACCATGAGGTGAGGGTGAATGCATAGATTGACCGGTAAATGGAGATCCATCTGACAGTCTCACGCTCCATCCTTCCCTCACATGTGAATGAGAGTCTGAGATACTAGAGGTAGGAGTATGTATAGTAAAAAAAATATGTTGTATGGAGCCCTAGTTGTTTGTTTACATTGTGGTTTCAGTAAATAGATCGTCATCATAAAGATCATATTTGTATTATGTTTAGAAACTTTTACATTGTATGAAATTGCGTTCTTATTATTGGTAGTCACCTCTTGGTCACATGTAGTACCTCTATAATGTATCTAGTAGCCCCTTAATCTTCCTTTATGCGGTCCCTGTCCAAGATGCATTATGGGACTTTCAACTATACAACAATTCACAGTGTCTTGGATGATATCTTCTTATATCGGTGTAAGTTATTAGAAATACTGTAAAAAAGCCAAGGACAATATATGATTACAACAGGCTAGGATAAATGATCCTTTTCCTGTTTCCCATCTCCTGTGGCCATCACTTCTGCAGTTGTAATATGAGTAATTTGATCATGTCTCGACTTGAGAAAAGAAAAAGTTCTCCTGAAATGTCATTAGTGCAGAACTGAGCAGCACCGTCTCTGCCCGGCCGAGACCACCTCCTGTTTCCATGGTAACGCAGACAGTGGAAACAGCTGAAGATGTGTGTGAAAGAGAGAGGGGGCGGATGATAATCAACTTGCATTAATTGAATGAGACAATGTTTCTTACAGTTTGGGAGGGCTACATCTAAACGGCAGAGATTAGTGTTTGAACTTTATACTATAATTCAAACAATTTGGCTGTATAGGCAATTTAAAACAGCTGTTCACAATTTACCACTTTAAACAAGTGCTGTAATGTGCAAACTAAAATATGTAAAAGACTAATGTCTGCAGTGTCCTTGAGTGTTCATCACGTCAGTTTGTTTATTTATTTTTTTGGTTTATTTGACAGGGATTGTGTACATTGATCCACATGTTTGTACCAGAATTAGCCTCAAGGCCGTTTTCATATGTATATATAGTACATTTCTGTTCTTTGTGTAGACATTTGAATAAAGGGCAGAGTGTGGTTTTTGATTCAATGACATTTAATATAAACCACACATTTGGTGGAGATCAGATGATTAATTTGCATTGACAACTATAAATGATAATTGTGTATCACTCAATGTGAGAGGGTATTCCCATCATGCTTTGGAGGTATAATAAAACACTTAATCTAATTTCCACCTCCTGCGATTGAGTGGAAAAATTGGTCAGGGGGTATATCTAATTTTCAGCATGACATTGCAAGGCCTTGGCTACAAGCATATACTAACAAATTGCTGCTTAGATAAGCAAATCAACTGGGACCAGCCAATAAAACCTGGGGCTTAGAGGACACTGAGAGAGGACGAACTTTGGCTTAACTCACTCGGGCAACACGCGGCCTGAAGTTCAGCCATGTACTATTGTATTATGAGCAGAACCAAATAGCAAGAGACCTAACAGTGACCCGATATTTCATTAGACCTTTGTCTCTAATAATCTTTCAGGGCTCTACTGTTATCTTTTTCATAACTATTTTTTTTAAACTTTTCCTTGAGTGACTTAAATGATCTCTTGTTATTATTCATGATGACGATAGAGTTGTTATAGCCGTAATTCTATTTTGATTACTTTAACCACATTGCTTAATATTAATTTTGAGATTCATAAAAATCCAAGTTTGTCATAGATTACCACATAAAACAGAGCACAAAACAAATTAGCACTCCCCTCTCATCATATTCATACTCTAAACGCAGCCTCACCTGATCGGCCGTCCCGCTGGAAGTCCACATGGTACCATTCCCCATCGTTGACCTTCTTGTTGACGGCTCTGGTCTTGGTGGTTCCTGAGCCCATGTCCAGCAGCAGATACAAGTGTCCGTCCAGCATCTCGATGGCAAAGAAGTCCACCTTCAGAGACTGGGGGTTCACCGGCGTGGAGTCCTTTGGCGGTTGCTTGGGTTTGCCGTGGCTGAAGAGGAGCAGGCCATTTGGCTCAGTGGTCCTGAAATCAAAGGAGATGGAGCCGGTCTTTTTGGCGTTCCACTTGTTGAGGGTGACGTAAGACTCGGGGGTCTCAAAAGTGATGGGGTCCAGGGTGGCCACGTTCTCACACTTGAAGGCGACAGTGCCGTGAACTTTCATTTTGGGGTCACCCTGCTTGGCCAGTCGGGACAGCTCCAGCCTCACATCATTGTTTTTGTACACAACCTAAGAGAAAATAGAAGCAAAAGTATGTTAAAGCTTGAGTATCTATCTTTTTCCCCTTCATAAATGCTATACTTTGTCAGTCCCAAAAGAAAAGTACACTTCTAAAAGTAAAAGTATTTGTAAACTAATCAGACCATATTCTTGCAAGGAAAAAGGTTCTTTGATACTTTGGGCAGAGAACTGATGGCTGATTTAATGTGGCCCACTCTTTTTCACTTTTTTTGTTTTTTTTCACTGTCTTTAAAGGCTAATATAGGCGCTTTTGAATGTGCTAGAAACAGCAGCAAGTCTTAACTAGCTATGAAATGTATTTTTCCTGCTTTTTTCTAGCTGAAACTGTTACTGCAGTACAGTGTTCATTGTTTTACACTGATCTATACCGGAGCAGAGAGGATTCACGGTTAGCTACTTTTTGAATTATGTATTTATTTGTTTTGTTTGTATGCATAGATGTGTTTCTGCTGCTACTGGACACCTGCATTTCTTCTAAGGGGATCAATGAAGTATGTATCTATAAAGATCTGATGTAATGTATGCATTAGGGGATAAAACCAAACTTTTTTGAGATGAAGGATTTTGTACGGTTCGAAAGTTACAGATACCTACTTTAATGCAGACTAAATGTAACAAAGGCTGCATTATTTTTGGTTCAAATCTGGTCGGATCTGGTTTATCCCAAGACATATTTTAAGGGCAGACTACCAAAACATCTAATTCTAGTGTGACTACAGCATGCATATTTGTTGGCTTAACCACAAAAAGCCCTTTCAGACCAGATGCTTATTTACCCAAGACAGCTTAGCTTAGCTTTGAGCATGTGTCCCAAGTAGCAGAAAATGTATCCAAAACCAATAATTTACAGGACAGGTCCCAAATGTTCCTGTTTCTTATTTAGTTCTATTTATCCATTGTCTGATAAACATGTGCTATTGTGCCATTTTTTTTGCTTAAAAGTGCAAGAACAAACACACCAAACATGAAACACTGTCAAAAGGACTCCAAATTATACAGACTGAAAATGAATCTGTGAAACGGGCATGAGAAGTGGACCAAGTGCAGAATAACGTACTTAAAAAAGGTCTCTTTTCATGTTTCTATTCTACCTCAATCCGGCTGTGTCCCAGTTTTTTTTATTTTGAAAACGTTTTCACCTTAGCTGACATCTATTTTACATCCTTGTGAAGTAAAAAGAGAAATTCAAGAAGTTTCCTTGTTAAAATCTTTACATTTCTTTTTTAGATTGGAATGTGTCCCGGTTAGTCTCCTCCTCTGTCCATTTGTGGTCTTTGTATTATTTGCAATTCGACAACATGATTTGTTGCATGCACGTTCTGTTGCTGAAAAAAGCTGATTTTCTTGTGTCAGAAAACCAATTTTAAAGATAATCTTACGCATTCTGAAAAATGTCACACATTTTCTGCTTCACAAAGTTTCTGAAAAAACTAAAATGCATCTATTTCCACATAAAGCAAAGTCCTGATATTGGATTTAACAACACACAACTATCTTAATGCATTCAATAATCCGTTGAATCAAAGAAAATGAATTCAAATCAGGGCTCTGAAAACACCGTCAGTGTAAAACAGCTAATATTATACTTGAGAAAACCAATGTCTTCATTGCACCAGACTCTCAACAAAGAGATGTATTTCTCCATCCAACAAGGAAAACAATAACAGCTACAGTTGTGGAAAGGCTTTTTCTAGTGTCTGCTTCTAGTCTTAGCCGCTGGGCCGTGTGGATGGGGTCAGTAAACAGTCAGCTCTTGCAGGGCGTGTCCAACATAGGCTTTAAATCTAACCATAATTACTGTAAATGAGTGCTATTTAGCTCATATTATATTATCTCTAAAAGTCTTTTCTACTGGCCACCATCATGCATAAATTATGTAAAAACAAAGGAAGGTATGAACGATCCTAAATATCCTAAAAGAAAATTCACAGACAGTTCCCAGACTACAGATGCACTGATAAATAAATAAGTTAGGCAAAAATGGGCCTAAAATCACAAATTAGCGCTGAACTAGGACTAGAAGGCTGACTTTTGACATTTACCATAGTTACCAGTAAAGATTTTTCACCTGCCCTGCACCACAGTTTTAAACTATAGGCTCTTTGAAACGTAGATAAAGTAGATTGGAGTATAAAGGAGTAAAAGTATACCTCAAAAAAAAATATGGGAATGAACTTCTCCCACCGTCCAACGGCCCAACAAAACTATGATGCGTTGTCAAATAAATTGGACCCATTTATACATATTTGACAAAGGTTTCACAGAAGCAAGGTCTTGTTGCCAGCTCATATAATCTTAGGGAGCGGTGGACAGAATCAATTGCTTCTAGTGGAGACAGAGGGCACCTTTCAAAGTCCTGGAGTTGCAGCTATGACTAGTGCTGCTGCTGGTGCACTCATTTGTCACCACTTTGACACCTGAGCTATGGTTGCAGCTATGGTTTGTTTTGCCATCACAACTAACAGGCAGGCGCATACGTGCACTGGGATCCACATCAAGCCACAGGAGAGCAGGGCATCAATCATTGAGAACAACACATGATGTTAAACCACTACTAACAGAGGCCAGCCCGGTACTGGGATACTGGGGAATATAAAAGATAGACAAAAGCGGCTCCACAAAGTACAAGATGCAAGAATATGCTCTCTAAATCAATCAGTAATGAGACAAAAATAAATAATAGCTTTGAGACCTGGGAAATATGTGCGAAGAAAAACATGTAATACGAATGACGCTCAAAGGAAGGGATTTAAAGATAGGTTCAAGAATTGTAACTTCAGTCATAATTTAAGTCAGTTCTGCGCAACATTTAGCTGTGTGAACATAATAAAAACAAGATAGTTGCATAGGTACAGTATATCTTGGCAGAATAGAAGTTATATATTTCTTGCAAATATATGAAGGGAATGTCCATGAATGAAGTGAGAGTCCATGTACTTTTTAACAAAAACATTTCATTGTGACTAGACGCAACAATATATTCAGAATTTGGAATAATATTTTACAAGTATATCTAGTGTTTCAGAGGGAAAAAGTCATACAATTACAGATATTCAATATAATACTAGGACAGCTTGCTGCTAATGTGACACATTTAAAACTATTACTGTGTGAAAGGAACAAAATATTATACCGAAGTTCCTCAGCAAGGTGTGTTTTTCTTTGCCAATGCAGGAGGGTCAAAGGACAGAGGACACTCGACATCCTACATTTATAGAAATGTATCAACATTTATGGACATTGGTCATCTTCCCTATGGACCAATGGCTCTATGCATTTTTATTGCTGCCTTTTTGAGCTGTTTAAATCTCTAATCTGTGTTGGCGAATTCAACCGTTTTGTAATGTCCTCCGAGATAACTACTGTTGTGATTTAGGGCTATGAAAGAATACATTGAATTTAATTTAACTGAGTCCTCACACCAATAAGGAAACTGCTATTATTATTATGCAACATTTGCTATACATACAGGTCTGAATATGCTGCTAAAAAACACAGGTATAGGCCATCTCATTCAAAGGCATCAGTAATTATAAATAGGAGACCCGTCAAAGCTTAAAGACATACTCGTCTGCAGTAAACGGATTGGGCCGTTAATGAGCTGTACGTGGCACGCAGAAATGTGGCCAAACCCTGCACGGGCTCATTAAAACCAGCTCTCACAGTTTTGCCCGAGAAGTGGCATCTGTGCAAGGTGAGACAACATGGAAGAATGAGAACAAGAGCTCCATTAAAGATAAACATCATGACAATCTGGAGATCTTTGGGAAATGGTTATTATTTATGATGAGTTGCTGATGACATAATTGTAAAACTGAATTTTTTGTAGTTGGTTGCAAAACAAAATAAAATGTTAGGCTAAATAATTAATTAATTTGTTTTAGACTTATCCTTTTTGATTTAAAAGTGGATTGATAAAGCAGAAGGTGGACATGTACAGGAAGAATAAACGAGTTCTTGAGTTCTTGTCACTGGTCATGCTTTCATTTTATATCATTCTAAACACTAGCTCACAGGTTTATATCTTCAACTGCTCTAAGTACAGACTCATTTTTAATAAATGTGTGTTTTTTATATTCAAATAGAGAAATAGTGACATAAAAGAAAACAATACATATATAATGTCTGAATTAAATGAAAAATAGTCTTGTCTTGAAATGTTATTAGAATATAGATGCACAGCTACTCAGTTCAGTCCTATTAATGTACTTTGATTAATTGTGATTTGAATGGCTTGTCTGATTGTTTCTATCTTGTTTTGTTAAGCTGCCTTGTGTATGCTATGAAAAGCCTGCCTTGCCCAGAATATTGATCAAGCTGCTTGACTTTATTCACCCTTTTCTGCATAAAATCTAAAGAAAAAACGCTTAATCCAAAAGAATAATTAACAGGTGAATTGATAATCAAAATAATCCTTAGTTAAACGGATTGATCGCATACTACTGCTGCACGTTCATTTGGTTGGAACAGTGCATGTTAATGAACGCACCTCTCCAGATCTCTCACACTTACACACACTCAATCACCCTGAACACTTGTACATGGTTTTAGTGGTAGGGAAACCAGAGTACACGGAGGAAACCTAGGCAGACACAGGAAGAACATGCAAACTCCACACAGAAAGGCCTGAAACTTTCTGCCCTGGCGTAAAGACTGCATACTTTCATAGCAGTAGTACCACAGAGAGACAAATGCGTGATGTCGTGAACTTGAGTGGAATGGCCCATTACACAGAGAAGCCTCTCTGATAAAGACTGACTCTGCTCAATACGTCAGCAGACAGGGCGACCACATCGGTGTCAAATGCAATGTTCAAGCTCAGAGCAGATCATCTCAGCCCACAGGTGACGTGCTATGTAGATTTTTACACATATAGATGTGATAAAGGAACAGCACGAGAGGCGAGGGCACAGTGGCAGCATGTAGACCCCCAGAGGAGGAGTGAGGCATGTGGAGTCGCTGTTATCCTCATGAAAATTCAGCTACTTGATCTCTCCAATCAGTTTTTGTCTTTGAAGTGCACCTTACAGAGGACTACAAAGGCAACGGTGAGATCCTGTGATGTAGGGATTCCAGATATACATATAGCAAATGTATTGTTATAACAGTAGTGGGAGACTGTATTTGAAAAGAAATGTGGCATAGTGAAACTTTAGATACAAGACTGGTCATGCTGTGATTGATGGAAACGTTTTCATCAATTGCAAACATTGAAAAAGAGTGTGTTATTCAAAATCTTTTCTAAATGCATATATTTGAATATATTGAATTTAGCAACTTGAATGTCCTTCTTATTATATTACATTAATATTTACATCAGTGTAAATATTGTCATTTCTTGGCTCTGTCTCGAAGCAATACAGTAACATACAGTATAAGATAACATTTGAAAAATCCTTTGTGATAGGCACAATTGGGTCCAGATTGGAATTAAAGCAGGGGTACAATTATCTATTGATTTGTTAAATACCACTTTTTTGAGCAAGCATGTAAACCTGCATCTGTGCAAAGTGAGAAGTAAAAAAGTAAAGTTTATGCTATGGATAATGAGATAAATAATTGAATAGGAGACAGAAAAGAGTGTGTGGGAGAGAGCCGGGTCTGTTTTAAGTCCTGAGGTGAGTCCAGTCATATTCTGAGCACCACAGCCTACGCTAAAGCCGACAAATAGATACATCGACAGACTGTTGAGCTGCTGATGCCATACCTCCTTCAGGCAGCCCATGAAGTTGTTGCTGACCGGAGATCCGGGCAGGTCAGCGGTGCTTGGGCTGCCTCCGACGTAGAAGAAATCATCGGAGCCTAACATGGTGTAGTCTTCCTGCGTGTATCCGGTGGTGGTCAGAATCCCATCCACGGATATCGTTACCTAGACAACAAAGCACAGGAAGAGGACACGCTATACTCAACCCAACCCAATGCGTGTTTCTAATCAAACTGCCCTTTTCTTCTTGTGGTCTTTCAATCTTTGCTGTTTTTGTAATAGATTTCTGAAACCCATTTTTATGTCTTTTTTCTTGTTTTTCTGTATTATTTTGTCCACTTTTAGATTAGTTGTTAATCTGCACACCCCAAAGAAATGCTAGTTAGTGTTTGAGTTAGTACTGCCCATAGAACCGTGTTAGTATTGCCCCGAGAGCAACATAAAATAGTTTAGCAGACACAAAAATGGTGTTAGTAAAATGTTTGTCGGTTAGTTATTCCATTATATTAGTAAATCCACTGTTGTTAATTTAGAAAATAAAGTAAATTAGATCGTGCTACTAGGTTAGAAATAGCACATGCTATGAAATACAGATAAGTATACACTGCTTATTACAGTTTGAAATAAATAGGCATGCATTTAGGTTTGCTTTTTGCCCATTCGCAAAAAGGAACACCTTTTTCATTTTGTTAGAAATAGGGAATAAGTTTGGCACTACATCATTAGCATGCATTAGCTCATGGATACCACAAAAAGAAATATAGGAAGTGGCATACAGAATCACACAATCACACACATGTTGACAAATAGTGGTGATGCGACAACACACACATCAAAGTTCATGCCATGCAAAGAGAATGGGGAAGATACAACTGGCTGAGCCCAAGAGCATCAGGCCAGCCAGACAGAAGAGAAGTCCTCAATATTAGCCACAGCTTGATGCAAAAGGCTCGCAATGAAGCTCCTATGTGGATTAAACAGAATAGGACAGGAAACAGGTGAAATAAAGTGGGCAAAACCAAAGGAATGACTCAAGAAATCCAAAAATGAAATTCCAAAAAGTAAGCTGAAGAGTACCAACCGCAATTTCCCTTTTTTGTAAATGACGTCTACGGTATACAAAAATAAACAAAAGGAAACACACGGCAAACCCAAACTAAGAAACAATTAGAATGATATCTACCGAACAATGTAGTTTGTTTACCATAGCGTGTCCAATGCCTGAGTGCTTTGTGGAAAAGGGGGAGAAAGGAAATTAAAAACTGTGAACAGAATAACGACTGTTACTCAAATAAAATATGATGGTCAATACTGGTTAGTACATTGTTAAAATCAGACTGGTTAGTAGAATGACACATTCCATGAGTGATGTAAGGTTAGTTTCCAAAAGCATGTTAGTGACACAGAGTTAAAAGGGCAAAATAAGTTAACAAGAAAAAAGCTGATTAGATTTGCTTCTCTAGAGATGCTACAGCGCTACCTGTAACTTATACAGCATTTACCCCCTTATCCTTCATATTCATATTTATGGAGACACTAAAGCGCTTCATTGGATCTACTTAACCATTAGATCAGAGCCAACATATACATTGGCGAATTTACTTAAAGCGACACAATGGAAGTTTTTCTCAGAATATTGTATGATAATCAACATAAACCTAATAAAATTATTGTATCCTAAATCTCGCTTGTACATCAGACACACACTTACTGCCTGTGCTTACTTACCTCAATTTGAAAATCTAAACAACTCCCCTGATTCTAATGTGTTGCATTTAGTTCTGCATAATTTGTTTTATATTATTATTATTCTTAAGCCTAGCGTACATCGACAGAGAAACTGGGGACAACTTGTTGCAAGGCGGCTTTTGGCAACTGAGAGGAGATGGTGGGAGATGATCAGTTGCCGAAATCGGTCGATGTGCGCGCTCTTACAACTGGAGATGATCAGTCGGTCTCCAGTTCCAGTCAGTTGCCCGTGTTCTACTTTTCGGCAACTAGTTGTCCTCAGTTGCCCCGATGTGCGCGCTCCATGCGCCGCTCCGACAACGTGTGTGTATTGCGTGTATTGCGAGCCTGCAACAGTTTATGTCAGAAAACACACTGTGGTTGAGGCCAGTTGCTGTCGATGTACGCGCTGTTATTCAAGAGACTGGTCTGCGACTCAGAGTTGCCCGTTTTCGCCAGATTGTCGATGTGTGCGGGGCAGCAACTCAGAGGCGACGGATATAATCAGTTGCCAGTCCGATGTACGCTAGGCTTTAAGCCCTACACACTGTTGGAGACATACCCAGCGCTCTTTCAACACTGTACCTCCTTCTTTTGGTCTTTTTGATGGACTTTAGGATCACTTTACTGCAATGAGACAAAGCAAAAAGACCCTGACACAGAATGAGCGGGATGGCCGTTCCCGATGCCCCACGGAGCATGCACTCTAATGCTTCAGTTCTGTTTTTTTTTCTTTCTTATGTGGTGAATGTTCCAGATGGCCAAGTCCTGAGGCAGCACCATAATACTAGTGCTAATTATGCAAAAGCAGGTTTAGTAGGCAGGTGAAGATAAACAGAAGCAAGCAATTGAGCAGGAATTTGAGCAAAGAGGTACAGAGGTTAGCTGTTCAGATTTCACTGCTGTGATCTTTGGTAATGCATTCAAAAAGACAACTACTCCGAAACTGAACACTGAACCAGAGCTGAATTATGGAGGATTAAAATGATACTGCTTGTTAATGGTGAGCAACTAGGAGCAGCAGAAAGCAGACAGACTCAGCGACTTCTGATTTGCTAAAACATAGGATTAGCTCAATAGAGGTTAAACAAAATTACAATCAAAACATTTCTCCCAGACATTTATCGGTCTTATGAATGTTTCAACATTCATAATAATAATAATTCATAATAATATCGGTATTGATCGCTAGTAATTATATGAAAACAAGGAGAAACACAACCTAAAACATATGCGAGTAATTATACCAAGCAAGTTTAAAGTGCGTATGACAGGTTTGGATGATTTTCAAAAGTTGACTAAATTAGGTGAAGATGACATCTGCTATAAATATTAAGGATCGTTTTACACCAACCAGCAGAGCATGCAGCAGCCCAAACATCTCTACGACATGTTCCCATTTTTCAGAAAATCGTCCCTCATGTGACTTGTGTGTAGTTTGATAACCGTCTTGACCTGAGTCACATTTTTTTGCTGTCTAAATTCCTGCTTGGCTTGGTCTGCTGGTTCTCACTGAAAGTTGAGAAGGGTCTGTTGCTGTTGTTCTTACACGCCAACCTGTGTCTGTTTTCTTTTACATCAAATACATTACAGAGATTATTGTCTAGTGTATAACAACTAATCCCCAGTGTATGTTTTTTATTGTTAAAAACAGCCCAAGATGTCATACACACTTTAAGAATCCATCCCCTGAACCACAACCACACTAGTAGTACTGTGCAACCAGCATCTCTATGGGCGACTCTAAACCCTTTCACAAGTGGCTCATCTCCTGATCATTAAAAACACATTACACCTTCAAGAAAAAAAAGTTGTCAGTGGGAGATAATCCAATAGACACCGGCGGCACACCACACACCACTGATGGAGTATGCTCCGGATCAAAAGGTCTTTAACTGTCATGTACCCAGTGAGATTAATGGCAGCTCACACACTGTCCTCGAAGGACTGAGACCACTGAAATGTACTTTATCTATACTATATCTGTTCAGAGGATATCCCGGTGTATGACCACAATATTTTCTCCCTCAATAAAGGAAGCTATGGCACACTTCCTGAAGGTGAACTCAGTAAAAATAACATTGCAAGCTGCTGGAGATAGATACACTACTGATTACAAAACCAATTTGCTGTCTTCGCCTTGTGTGATAAATGGCTGCATTGGCTCATGACATCTATAGAGACCGACGCAGAGTTAGGAATACACTGTCAAAGATGGGTACCAATTTGTCTTACCATGCTTGTTCCTTAATGCAAAACTTGTAATACTCTTGAATGTCAGATTTGCACAACTAATAGAATAAATTCAAATTTAACAACATAAAACTAAACGATTTGCCAGTTGAGTTTCAATATTATCTTACCTGCCTCATAACTTACAATTTCATTATACCAAATTATCGCCAAGCACCAACAAATCCTATTTTTGTTTAATTTCCTCTACAAATAACAGGACCTTTCACTTAACATTCAATCAATCGTTCATTGTAGTAATTTGATTTCGTTTCAATGATTAAGCCACGTATACCTCTATGGCTTCAATCAGAGTTACTCACTGGTTATTTAAACTTTTGATAAAGTCTAGATGCCTCTGCACAATTGTGGTTCTGTTGTATCTCCACCTTAAACCACTGATCAAATTGGGCAATCCAATCACGGATGTCTGGAGAAATAATTGACTGTATGATGACAATGATTAGTGCATTAATTTGGATTTGACTGATCCGCACCACCCTTTTGTACTGTTACCTGACGGAGATTCCGTGTAACTTTCACATCATGCCAATCATTGTCATTAAATTTCCCAGCGACCGGCTCCACCAGCGCCTCAAAGGCCCCAGAACCCAAATTAATGACGAGAGACACAGCGCCGTTTTTCAGGGCCAGGTTGACGTAATCAGCTGATTTTCCCGTGTGCAGCATCAGTCCGTTCCTCTGCAGCGTTTTGAAGGACAGCGTGATTTCGTCACTGCTGCTTTGAATGGGGTTCAAGGACAAGTCGTAGCAGAAGAACTCGGATCCTTTGAAGGTTGTGACGTACTCTTCTTTACCTGCAAGACACAAAAGAGAAAGAAACATGACATGTTAAAGGCAATGTCTTTAGAAGTGTTTTGTCGAGGCTTTGAAGAAGCAAATTAAGAATGAGTGAAGAGAACAGTGTTGCAAGTAAGCGTTAAGGGCAAAGCTAAATATGGCAAAAACCTGTTCAATCAGCAACCTCTCACCTGAGGAGCATGAGGTCCCATTCCAACTGAAATTGGAGCGACTGGAAAGAAGCGAATTAGGCAAAAAATATCCATCCAAGCCAAGCAAAATCCAAGCTCTATCAAGACCCTGCCCGCTTTCTTTGTCTTATAATAGTGTTTTTTCAGTGTATGCATTGTGCTGTATGAATAAACGTGCCTTACCTAAATGTTTATTACCTTGAATTATCCAACTGCTTAATGGTATCAACTACCTGGCAGGAAGGCACAAGTTAATTGTAATTATGAATCATTTCCAGCAAAGCAATCACTGTGTAATAGGTAAAGAATTATCCACCAAAAAATGTATTAGCATCTTAATGTTAACTAATGGAACATCTGACACAGCCATTAGTTACAAGATGCAGCGATTAAAAAACCCAGCAAAATGTTGGTGGATTAGGTCTTCCTAATCCTTGTATCAAAATCCCTAGTGTCCCGCATGTTGTATATTACGGAGATATTGTCAATACAACAAGACAAAGGCAGCTGTAACTTCTATATAGGCTCTCCACATTTTCACATCAGCGTATATAGAAAAGTCTTTGTCTGCTCTACGTGGCTCATTGACATCCAGGACTATCAAGGCAGGAGTAACCTTGAGATAAACTTTGCACTACTCCAGCGATAGGAAAATGTCACTGTGCTTGGTGCGTCACCGGATGATGCATTAGAAGGCATCCAAAAACCGGACACACCATTATACCACCAGCTGAAATCAACGTAACAAAAACACTAGAGCATTCAGTGATTACCACTCTTGAGAAAGATATATTTGCTTCCTGCACACACACCTGCCCACTTGTTAAGGGGGAACCAGCCGCAGATGCAACAATGTACCAAATAAAAGGGTTTGCTGTCTCCACCAATTTGTCACATCATTGATTCCCCCTTAAAAGGCACCATACAGCCGCTGTGGGACAAACTCGGAGGGGCCTGTAATTGAAGTTGACTGGATCGCATCACTCTTTGCCCGTCTTAGCCCCCTATCAGTGGAAATAAGGGACCTGTAGACCTTTGAATCTCCCAGCTGTCCTTGAGTCCAAACGCACGGCTTTTTGCTACCAAAGCACAAATAGGGCACCAAGCTGGGGTCATTCTCATCTTGCTGCCCCACACACCAGCATCTGTACACTTAATTTGGCGAAGCGGTTTGGAAGTGAATGAAGAGGAATTTGCCGAGACTGGGTCTGAGTCCAAATAAATAGAGGGGAAACACCCCTTGAGAAATTTATTTTACAATAAAATAAATTGGTTGAGGTTGTTTTGAGTGAGAAAATGCCTTATAACTAGCATCCTAAATACAGAATACAATCATTGAGCTGCATTGCTCTTTGCACAATAATTGTGTTTAGGGTTAATCAAATCAGAGGGTAAAGTAAAGAGGGCAAGGTAGAACATGTTACTGATGATCAGGCCTTCTTATTATTGTCTTTTGAAATATATGTTAAAACTGACAAGTCTTTCTTTTTAGCAGTAAGGGTTAAAATCAACATCTATTTCTACATATTTGTCAAAAATATAATGCACTGCACTGTAATTACTCAGCCACAGTTGCCACAAATTTTAAACGCTTAATTTCTACTTCCATTTACGGCACTTTAACTTTGCTTGATGACAAAACTTGACACGACCCCAGGCTGCATCCAACAACAAGGTGTAGATTTTGCAAGTCAAATCAGAGAGACTGTCATTTGGCTACAAAGTTTAACATTCACCACACAAGTAGAAAGGAACGTGTCACATGTGTGTCAGCATAACTAACACATCATCCAATCAAATTTTTTAGCGCAACTGCCTGATATTTTCCGTTAGTTTTGCCAGGTCAAATTTGAGATTTTAAAAGGTGTTTTTGAAGTATTTCTAAAGCATCATCTGGAGAAATCTGTTGTGCCCAGACGGCTGTGGCTCCAACCTGGTGCCTGTACGCCCTTGAGTACTACTGCGTCTCTATGGGAGAGCAGATAAGAGAAGTATCCCCTGGTCTGAGTGTCTGAGAACAAAGGGCAGGAAAAACAAGAGCAGCACCATGGATAGCTCCCAGTGACAGCACCTAAATATAGATAGGACCTTTTTGCACATGCTTGGGGCATTCAAATGTATTCTGAAGGGGAAAGTGGATATTTTACAATAGCATTAAGAATAAAAATGTATAGAAAGAGCAGATTGATAAAGAACATAAGTTAGTTTCAGAGTACTCTTTTATTCCAGCTCTTGTGGCAATTACGTACTCATAAAAAAACCTCACAAGGACACAAATGGGGAAAGTGATGTCTCTGTATTTAAACCTCAAATGAATAGTGACACATTTGGGACACCATGCTACTCTTAAAGAGAATTACAATCATGCCTCCATCTTAAAACTATTACAACAAATCATGATTTTTTTGTATAACGTACAGTCTGATTATCCTGAAAAACAACATCACAACGGACTGCTCCGCAAACTAAGAATGGTCTGAAGCTTTGGTGTGCTAGGGCTTTCAGTCGGCTTGTGGTGTCCTCCGTCTCTATGGCACCCAGACTACTATCATTCTCGGTAGCATGGCCGTCTCTGTCTGTGTCCCAACTATTTGCGAGAATCCTTGGCTCCTCTGGGAGATTTCTTTGTGCCTCTTCAACCTTTCTGGAATCTGAATGGAGCATAATGACTGTTACGGATCCCACCATTAGGTCAGTCCTCTTGTACTTCCACAACAACTCTCATGTCATGAGTCAGTAAAAACTCTCTTTAAGAATCTGAAACGTCAGATCTATTTGTATAGATTTTCTTTCACCCCACAAATTTTAAGCATTAATCAATGTACTATACATAAAACATGTGGTAAATCCCAAAATACTTTTTTTTTGCCTTCTGGAGGGTTGAAAAAAACCATTGAGTGAGCAAAACAAATTGTACCTCAAAGGCCTCCCTAATCCACAGTCCATGACCATCAAATGTATCTTAGCTGTGAGGTCCTGTACACAAGTAAAACAGCACCAGGAAGTCATTCACAAGTAAGTAAGTAAGCAAGTAATGTTTATTTTATACATTTTACAGACCAAGGTCACCCAAAGCGCTTTACAATGTTCAGAGATCAGCTATTTTTCCATTCACACACGATGATGACGGAAGCAAGACGCCGAACACACTTCTATTACACCAATCTGGCACCTGCTGCTCTAGTGCCACTTTTCAAATGAGCCGCACCCAAAGGAAAGGCAATCAAAGCCTCAGACAACCTCCCAAACTTGAAAGGTTACTATCTATACCATGGTCTGGGCATGTTATTAGACAAGCTAGGCAAATTTTGTGAATGTGAATAATGTCAACAGATACTGTACATTCATGCGTGACAGAGATGGTACATACTTTGAGTTTTATAAATGAGACCCTTGAGCAGTGGAAAGGCGCCTGAACTGAACTAATAAGATTTTTAGCAATTAAACATCTGAATAATGTCAAAGCAGAAACTATGCATTGAAACTTAAAGATAACTGAAACTATATTGTTCACAACAGTTTATGGTGCAGACTGACAAATATCTGAAAAACAGACTAAGAAAAAGAAATCCATTGCGAAATTCAACTTGTAATAACTTTGCGGGACTCCAACTATCATGTTATGGATTCCGGTGACGTTGAGAAGTGGTATTTAACAGAAGTCAGCATGTGTGAATATACATGAGGCTACGCATTCAAGCCACCACTGGGCTAATTTAACAAACAGTGTCATCCGGATTTTCAGTGACAGAAGTCGTGCTGCGCATAGAGAACGCCCCTCTCTTCAGCCTGTCTCTCCAGAGTGCAGTAATTGGCATCACCATTCACTTGTCATTAACTCCGCCATCAGACTTCAATTAACATTTTTTAAAATGCATGTATTTCATCTGCAGCAAATGCTCAGTGAAGGTGTGCTGCAGCCATTTGTTTAAAAGTACAAAGAGCACACAGTAATATTTGGACCACTGAATGGAAACTGAACTATCCGATTGAACTGACCTGAATTAACGATAAAAAAAAAACAAAATAGGAATTTAACAATAATATTTCCTCAACCTGCAATGAGTATTTAAGGTAGGACAGAAACTCCTATATTATTGGTACAAACACTGCAAGACATTTTAGTAGAATAAGGTTTGGTCACTATTCAAACACAAAAGGAGCCAGCTTTAATATCCCTGTGTCAGCTAGTCACAACTAATCAGTCATTCAACTGTGAATTATCTATATGAAGACAATGTGTACACTTAGAACTTACCTAAATATCACAATACAAATGTGACTTTAATGTTTAGAAATGAGAACATTAGCAGTATGTGTAATAACACTATTATCCTGATGGATTTTAAAAGTTTCTTGCCAGCACAATGTTTGTTGGCAAAGAATAAGTGAATCTACTTAAATAAAGTGCCTTAGTCATGAAAAAAAGGAAAAGAGACACTGCTCTATTATTCACTGGTCTGGGTTTTTGAAAGGTGTGGCATTATAGAAGGTCAACACTGCGCTGAAATGTATGACCACAATATTTGTAATAAAACTTTTAAAAAGGGTTAGGGTTATTTTTCAAATGCACCCAGCTAGTATTTATGATTTTCCCATTTGAAATGAGAGAAGTAAAATATTGTGATACAGCAAAGAGTATATTGAAAAGTCGTCCATCTACTAGGCCTATATTGCAAAAGCACAACAGTCTTGCAGTGAAGTGGGAGTGTAATGTGCTGAATACTAATCTGCAAAGCCCAATCCATTTCCACAGTAAATCCTGGATCATAATGTAAGCCTCAGGAGAAGGGGGATCAATATACTCATCAAAAGAAAAGCATTAT